TTTTCATCCTCTAGCCCTTTGTGGTCATTAGAAACTGAAGCAACCAGTTTTAACTTTGGGAAAGTGACGGTTTGTGACTTTGGTTTGATAACTGTGGTGTTCGATCAATACTGAGCCCAGATCTTGGTGCAGAGTTGGCGGGTTTATCCTCACACAAAGTATGCTATGACGTATACTTGTCATAACATTTTTCATGACATGGATTTAGTAGGTAGGTATCAGTGTTATTCTTAGAAAAGATACTGTGATTCGTATCGGTATACTGTCAGTTATTCTATTTTGTTGTTCAGGGATAACTTGTTATTGGAATAGATATGCAAATGTCGACTAAGGATGAGAGTTAGTCTAGCATAAATAATTATTAGACTTGTGCAATCTTGCTCTATAGAGTAACAAGAAGCATATCTTATAGTGTATATTTTGGTAGTTGAAGAAATTGTTTAACATAGATGTATTAGATATCATACTAGTTGAGAATATGATATCCATGATAATTATACAATTATCTCATGTAATAAGGATCTCAAGTATCATGAAGGAACCAAACACTCGATGGTAGTTATGTGAGAGACATTAGGAAAGAAAGTATCTTTGCGTTATATCTATATAAATGATGATATGTAATCATCATATTCTAAAGATATCTAGAGATATATTTGTTGGTATTGTTAAATCTCTGGAATAGAGTAGAATATGACACTTTAGTGTATCTGAAACTTTTGATTTAGTTTTGTGTGTTCATAAATGAACAATTTTTAGTTCATGTATAATTCATCTTTGGGATTTTGAGATAATGACTTGTAGGCACGTACAAAGTATGTTGAACCGGTTGAGATTGGTTAGCTCACACGAACAATCATATCAAACACTTTGGGGGTATGCAGCCATGAGACAAAGTTATCATGTTGTGTACATGATCTGGTTGCCTTGATGAGATATCAAAATGAGATTACAACAAGTTTGATTCGATTTGATGGGATATGTCAAGGAAAGTAGCGATTAAAAGTTGAAAGATTCAAGTAGAAAAAAAAAATTATTTTGACCAACATTTATATTTGTATATACTGGCCAGACAATTGTGTTTCACCATTTAGCGTTAGTACATATAATTGTGAATACAATGATACAATGTGGGTTCAAATATATTCCATAAATACTCCAGGGATCTATAATACTTGAATTAATGTTGAAAAATGCGTTTGGGGTAAAGCGATATGTAATGTTCCTCTAATAGAGCCACTATATATCCCTAACAAATTTATAGTACCGTAAGCTCTAACAAGTACTAGTTGGTCGCACGACCTATTTGCCGTATGAATCTTTGTTAATAGACTTTGAGAAGAATCTAACGTATGGTATTTGTTGTCACTTGTGATTGGGATTAAGTCCATCATGTGTGAGTGAGAAATGTTAGAAAATATGTTCATAGGTCACTCATGTGAGGTGACTCGACCCACAACACATTAAAAGGGTTGGAGGAAGTGGTTTGAACTTGAAATTCTAGCCTACAACTCTCTATAATCATCCTTAACTCTCATAAAACCTCCAAATAGTTATTGCCTAGAAAAAGAGAGAGAAATAAGGGTATCATCCTATATAAGTTAGGAAATATGTATTCGGTCTTAAGATTTAAGAAAATAAAAATGTACTGTAGTCACAGGCTTAAAAGCCTATTTTATGGTAGATGGCGGATGCAAGCGAATCTACGACCAATGGAAATAATCGAGATACGGTAGTGGAACGGTTGACAGCGTTAGTGGAGATCCAATCACAACATCTTAATCAGTAT